TCCCTGTGCTTAGCTGCAGAAATTCTGATCCCCAACTGTGGTCGTAAAGTCCAGGACTACTTGTAATATACAGATACTCCTCGATTTACGACCACTGTTGAGCCCAAAATCGCTGTGGCTAAGCAAGACCTTTGTTAAGTGAAATTTTGCCCTGTTTCACAGCCTTTCTTCCCCTATTTGTTAAGCGTTAACAATTGCAGTTGTTAAGCGAGTACCACGGTTGTTAAGTGACTCCGGCTTCCCCATTGACTTTGTTCGTTAGAAGGACGCAAAAGGGGATCACATCACCCCGGGAGGCTGCAACCGTCATAAATACGAGTCAGTTGCCAAGCCTCTGAATTTTGATCACGTGACCACAGGGATGGCTGCAACGATTGTAAAACGGTCGTAAGTCACTTTTTTTCAGTGCCGTTGTAACTTCGGTCATTAAGTGAACTGTTTTTAAGTTGAGGATTACCTGTATTTTATTCAACAATGTGCCTCCACTTTATCCCTTCGCCCTCTGCGTTTTAGCCTTGTTGCGCCTTCCTTCCGTTATCCATTTTCTTCAAAAGCGAGCCACTTTTAAGTTCTTTTTAATTTTTCTGCCACCCGGTTATTTCTCGGAAATAGGCATTTATGAACGGAAGCAGTTGGTGGGTTTTATTTTTTTGTTCTCTTTGGACTCTTTCGAGTATTTTTTTTTTTGCTATTGCCAAACTAACGCACAAACACCAAAAAAAGGCAGAAACCCTGCTTATCCAGTGGCATAAAAAATCAAAGTAGCACCATGGCAAAGACTTGGCTTGCTTGACTCTAAGATCCGACTCGATCGGGGGTGGCTAATGAAGCCTTCCCCACCACAAAGAGAAATCCCACATGGATTTGGGCTCTTGTTACGCTCAAGACAACGTAGGGATGGGCAGGGATGGTGGCTTGTTGAAAAATCCCTGGGCTCGCGAAGAGGGTCAGCCCAGAACGGGCGACCGGGACCCGAGATTGCCTCGTAGTTTCTTATAAAAATATTGAGGCCTTTTGGAAGTTGGATGGCTTTCTAGATTCGTAAAAATATCACTGCTCGAGTGTTTGTGTAAACGTGTTCCCTCTTTCTGTCTTGGCAATCAGGTTGTGGACTAAATGTACAATGGTGGATGGTTCATTTTAGGAATGGAGGGAAGGTAAATTAGTTCAGCCACACTTTTTTTTTTTAAAAAAAACCTCCCTAGTGAGTCACAAACCCTTTCCTACAATTAGTAATAAATCATATACTTTGAGATCATGTTCAGCACATCCCAGTTTACCTTCCCTTAATTTAACCCTTAATTCGAGATTTTCCCTTGTAAAGGTTGGTGATTTTTTTTTTAACTTACTGAGCATTTTTGCTTCATCGGCTGACAGTTCTTCAAGCAATACCATGACGTGTGTCTTGCAATTTTTGCCCAGGAATGTTGCAACAAAAGGACTACATTTTCCCTTCCTCCTGTATGACCTTGCCTGCCCCTCCCTGCCTCCTCCCAACTGGTTTTTCCCCCAACAGATCCTGGGTTATATTCCCCGATCTGAAATTGTTCAACGTTTTGCAAGATCTCAAGAGCATCACAAAAACGCTATTGCTGCTTCTTAAAAACACCCACCCACCCCCGTTTTAGAGAAAAGCGTCCTTCGGGCGAGTTACCAAAATCTTTGGCAGCACCACAAATTGCTTCGATGATATTCCGGCTCGTCTCTCGGAAAGCTCTTCTGCCTTTGAACGAAACAGGCATTTGTCATCCTTCTCTGCCGCTTCGACTTTACCTTTCAAAGCAGAATAATTTCACCTTTCGAATCAGAGTAATTTTTTTTTTCCCACGCTGAAAAACAAGGATAATAATCCAGGAAGGATTTGGATTGACCGCCCGTTAATCTAGCCTTAACCTCCACGAGGAGGAACGAGTGTGCAGAAGAACTGGGACTGAAGGATGGTGTTGTTGTTGTTTTTTTAAACACTACGGACACAGTTGCTCCTTCGGTGATAATCGACTTCACTTGCCTGATGTGAAAAGTGCTTTTCGTTTGAAGCTGGTGTCGGTCGCCCGAGCAGCTGGATAAGGCAAATGAGAGGCAGTGAGGTGATTTTTCTCTTTCCTTTTTTTTTCTCCCCCCCAAAATGGCATGGATGCATCTGAACAGCTGAGGTCAAAGAGGTCACACCAGAGTCCCAGGCTTGGCTTTGTCCTGTCCGTACCACTGGACGTCGGAGAGTTCTGGATAAAGGGCAGAATCCAGGTAGCAGCTATCGCTGTAGCTCCTACAGAGAGATGGAAGTTTGCATTAGTCCTCTATTTACAACTCATCGCTTAGTGGCCAAAGCTACAATGGGTTCCCCCAAAGCTATTTACAACCCAGTTCTGAAGTTCGGATTGCCAGTCTCCCCTGGGACCACATTTGGGGTGTTTAGCAATGGGCTAGCTTTTATGGCCGTTTGCAATCTCCTGTGGTCATCTGATTACAGTTTATGACGTTTTTGCAGGAAACCAGCATTTACGTCCAGTTTTCGGCAAAAATGGGAGCATCTACTTTGCAACAGCTGCCCAAAAAAAGGCTGTGAAATTGAGTCAGTCACAGAAGGATGACCATAATGGCCAGGCCATTGAGGTGGTAAACCATGCATTCTCTCAGCTTGTCTCAAGTACATGCCCCCTAAACTTGTGGCTTTTTCAGTGGAACTTCTCATTTTGGAGCTTGTAGAGCAGAGGTGGGAAACGACGGCCCCTTTATGGATGGTGGACTTCAACTCCCAGAATTCCTGAGCCAGCCATGCTAAGAGTTGAAGTCCACAGGTCATAAAGGGGCCATCGTTCCCCACCCCTGCTGTAGAGGATGGTTCAAGCTATCAATCCACCAATAATTCGGATTATTCACTGCCTGTTATCGACAGTAGCTACAATCACCCTGGAGCATTCACTTGCTCAGGATGGTCCACATCCTTCCTGGAGAAGACAGATTTCCTTATTTCTAGTCCCGCTTCTAGAACCCACAATGGTCTTCTCATCCCACCCTGACTCTCACTAAATTGTGGACCTTTCCAATCGAAGCTCCAGACTGCCATCACTGGCCATTTTGGTTTTTTTTTACTATCTAAGAAATGCCTCGGGTTTAAGAGCTATTTTCGGATATCAAGATTTTGACCCTCCTACTTTATTAGAAGGGTTTATGTTTTTAATTACAGTCTTAAGAACAATCTAAGAAAGAGACACAGGGTGTCAGGAAAAAAAACCAAGACAAGGTATATGGAGCATTGGTACCCAACCCTGGAGATCAACGGGGCGACAGATGTTGCAGCCAGATCATCCTCACATCTGGACACTGGTACCCCCATGGTGGGAAGAAACCTTTTTTTACTTGCAGGTCTCCTCACTCCCACCCATCCATCTAGGGAACCACTTCAGAAAAATGTTGCATTCATTATTCCTCTTTTTCCTGCACCCCGTGTGGTTTTATATAAATACAGACACGTTCAGCACTTGGGAGAGACGATTGTATCAACAGAAGAAAACATTTGTAGCTCAGGATTGGACTGTGGGATCCTTGGCGCCCTCAAGAGCGTGGCGGTCTTCTTGCAGACGTTTCGCTACCAAACTAGGTAACATCACCAGTGCTAGCTAGCATGATAATGTTAAGGTCAGCAAGAAAACCGCCAAGCTGAGAGAGCACCAGAGATGGGTGTAAGAGCCAAGAGCTGAAGGACACACCGAAGAAAGGAAAGCAAGTACAGAGAGAGGCATGCAAGGACAAATTCATGCACTTCAAGGATGAAACATGCTTATGGGGCGGTTTCAGAGTTGGTTTGGGTCACTTCCAACAACAATTACACTACTAGCTCACTTGTGGCACTGTGTTAGAGCAAATCTAAAGGACTCCCTGTTTATTTCTCTTGCTACACTGCTACGCATAACATTTTGCCCACTAAGTTTCTTTCTGCCGATCTTAGGGGATCTTGGTTGTGGCACCAGTAGGACCCCAATCCTGCGTACGTCATGCTGTTTACTCAGGATAAGAGAAGGAAATTGTGATTTCTCTACGCAGGAGCCAAGATTTACGCAACCTTTGCGTTCTTACTTATTATAGTTTAATATTGCAGATTCTGGACTATAGTTGATGAAGCTCCTGCTCATTTCTTTGAGCTTCCGCTTTCTTGCGTTGCAATCTCTAATCCAAGGTTTCTCAACCGTGGCCCTTTGAAGAGGTGTGGACTTCATCTCCCAGAATTCTCCATGGGTGAATTTCATCTCCCAGAATTCTCCAGCCAGCATGGGTGGACTTCATCTCCCAGAATTCTCCAGCCAGCATGGGTGGACTTCATCTCCCAGAATTCTCTAGCCAGCCTGGGTGAATTTCATCTCCCAGAATTCTCCAGCCACCATGGGTGGACTTCATCTCCCAGAATTCTCCAGCCAGCCTGGGTGAATTTCATCTCCCAGAATTCTCCAGCCACCATGGGTGGATTTCATCTCCCAGAATTCTCCAGCCAGCCTGGGTGAATTTCATCTCCCAGAATTCTCCAGCCACCATGGGTGGACTTCATCTCCCAGAATTCTCCAGCCAGCCTGGGTGAATTTCATCTCCCAGAATTCTCCAGCCACCATGGGTGGACTTCATCTCCCAGAATTCTCCAGCCACCATGGGTGTACTTCATCTCCCAGAATTCTCCAGCCAGCCTGGGTGAATTTCACCTCCCAGAATTCTCCAGCCAGCATGGATGGATTTCAGTTCTCATAATCCTCCAGCCAGCATGGATGAACTTCACTTCCCAGAATTCCCCAGCCGCTTGTGAATTCTGGGACTTGGAAGTCCACCCATCTTCAACTGGGCAAAGCTGAGAAACTCTACTTTAATCCAATTCCCTATATTATTTGGAGGTCCCCTTCCACCCGACAACGGTTGTACAAAGTCCGAGACACAAGGAACAAGGCAAGACGACACAGCAGAGATGAAATGTGGTTTTAGAGTAGGAAAAAAAAATCCTCCCCCTCACTATACCTCTAATCATCAGTACTTGGTTGAGTTGGAGATGGAGACTCATCCATAGTGGGTGAGCTGTCCCTGGCATCTCTGAGCAAAGTGGAAACGAAGCAGGGAGAGAGAGAAAGAAAGAGAGAGAGAAAGAAAGGAAGGGGAGAAGAAAGAGCAGATCAGCCATGTTAAAAAGAAAAGCAGGGACACACGATCTCGTGAAGAGCTCATTCACCCTGTCGGAAAACGAGTTGGAGAGTCATCTCAAAAAGACAAAAGGCAGTTAGTGAGGGAGGGGAATTTGCTAAGTTTGGGACGCTATGAAAACTATTATGTAATGCAGTGGTTCTCAACCTTTTTAATGCCGCGACCCCAACCGGTCGTAAGTTGAGGACTAAACCGGTCGTAAGTCGAGGACTAAACTGGTCGTAAGTCGAGGACTACCCAACCAGTCGTAAGTCAAGGACTTTCCCTGCCCGGGAGCGCCGCGCATGCATGGTTTTGCCCCCTGCGCCGGCCGAGGCATAGCTGGCAAGCGGCAGAGACGGAGCCGGCCAACCACCAGCTGGCCCGGCCCAAGGGAGGTAAGGCATCCGCTGGAAAAGGGGGAAAAAATGGCGGACAAAAAAAATGGTGGACAAAAAAAATGGCGGACAGCCTTGCTTGGCGACCCCCATGAAATGGTCGATCGACCCCAAATGGGGTCCTGACCCACAGGTTGAGAACCACTGATGTAATGGAATGAAGAAAACTGAAGAGGCGTTTTAGATCTGGATTGATTTAATAACTAATTGAGTATGTTAAATTAGTAAGATGATATTCTTGTCTGATAATATGGACGTTATTAGGTATGATAATTAACTGGATGAAATTTGAATTAGGCCCAATGGGCTGAAATGATTTAAGGTCTGATATTATTTTTGTTATTTTGTTATCTTAAAGAGATTTGATTGATTGATTATATATGTATTGGATAGACTAATATTTTACTTTAATTAGGAGATATATTGTGTAGTGGAAGAAGAAATAAATGAGATTTGTGATAAAATTAAGGATTTAAGAGATTGAGATCTAGAATATATTTGGAAGGGATACCTGAATTGATAATTTGTTTCTTTAAGGTCAAATTTGATTATGTTAATTGTAAATTCACAAAGCTTTAAAACAGGTTTAGGATTTTTAGAAATTTAAATTAGAAATGGATTATCTTAAATGGATTAGGTTAATTGAGGGAAATAGAGAGGGAATATTTAATGTATTGATTTGTATTATTCATATATGGTTTTATTTCTGGATGTTTGATTACCCCAGCACCACGGTGTGTCTTAAGCACTTTGTTCTAAGAATTAAAAAACCAATAAAATTTGTTTAAAAAAAAGAAAAAGAAAAAAGGGAGTTAGTGACGGAGGGGAATTTGCTAAGTTTGGGATGCTGGGAGTTGCACGGGAAGAATTGATGAAGGGTGTAAGAAGTGGAAAAAAGGATATTTCTTTGCCAGATGAGACAATGCAGTTCCTAGGACAGTGTTTCTCAACCTGGGTCACTTTAAGAGGCGTGGACTTCAACTCCCAGAATTCCCCAGCCAGCATACTGGCTGGGGAATCCTGGGAATTGAAGTCCACGCCTCTTAAAGTGACCCAGGTTGAGAAACACTGTCCTAGACTAATAAAAAAGCTCTCCTCTTTAATTAAAGAGGTCAGATATTCCTGTTCCCCCCCCCAAAAAAGAGCGCAAAATCATGTATTATTATTTGATTTATTTTTTTTTCTAGCAATCAGCTGTACATTTAGCCCAGTTCAACTGTTGGAAAAGTTCACATGCAGATCCCTTCTCCTGAAATTTTGGACATGAGCTGGGCCACCAGATTCAGAAAATTGGCAAAACTGGATCACCCTTTGGAAAACTCCTTTCCAAAGGGCAGTTAAAATGGTGTTAATAGGTTAAAAACTCGGGACATCACCTTCTTTACGGGACGTGTGAAATTTATGGTCACAGCAGCATATGTGTTGGAGCATGCAAAATTTTACCATTTTGCTTCGAAACATCACTGTGAATGTAAGACACCCTGCCTAAGGCAGCCACACCATTGCTTTTCACAGAGTGACAATTGTGGAAATGTGAACTGGATCGTTATTTTGATGGGATTCCTCCCTCCACCCCCATTTTCTTCTTTACACGTATACAGAGATTCTAACTATTAATTCAGAGAGTGCGCAGCTAGTACCGTCCTCATCCAGGCTCCCTCTTTTCTTGGTCATCCCATCTTTGCCTTGTTTTTTTTTTTAATTACTTTTTCTCATTTTGACTAATTCTACCGGAAGGCAGGAGACTAATACACGTGCACAGATGTTAATAAGAGATCATCGAATCAGCTTGGTGCCAGTAGGGATCAAACTCAGTGTAAACATCTGGGTAGCCTAGAACAGTGGTTCTCAACCTGTGGTCCACCGACCCCTGGGGGGGGGCGCAATGTCGTCACAGGCGGTCCGCGAAGGCTGGAAGAAATGTGATTTAAATCTTAAGTCTTTGGGGGTGTGTGTCTGTGGCCATGGTTCGTGGCCACAACAGCAATAACACTTAGACTTATATACCACTTTGCAGTGCTTTACAGCCCTCTCTAAGCGGTTTACAGAGTCAGCATGTTGCCCCCAACAATCTGGGTCCTCATTTTACTGAGCTCGGAAGGAGAGAATGCCGAGTCAACCGTGAGCTGGTGAGGATCGAACCGCCGGCAGTGGGCAGAGTTAGCCTGCAGTACCGCATTCTGACCACTGCGCCACCATGGCTCTATTTAAAGGGGGGGGACTGTGGTGAAGAAAAGGTTGAGAACCACTGACCTAGATGGTATCTACAAAAAGTGGGCTGACAAGAGGTATCCACGCCTGGCCCTGCGCCCTCTTCCTCCTCGCCCCTTCCCACGGGGTCCCAAAACTCACCCAGTTTGCCAAGCTAAGATGTGGTGTGGACAGCTGGGGGTCAAAGACCCACAATCACTAGATGTGGTGGTTGAAGTCCTCGGATGGTGAGGTAAGGCAGCTGGAAAAAACAACGGAGATATCACATTGAGGTTCTTCTGTCTGTGAAACTGGACCTCTTGACCCTAATTCCAAATATGAAGTGACCGATGGCACTAAATTTAGTTATTCAACTAAATAACAGCCAGTGCAGTTCCAGCTTCTCTCCTTTTTTATTTGGAGGCAGTCCTCTACTTACAACAGGTCATTGGTGACCAGTTACAAGGGCACTGAAAAAAGTGACTTATGACCATTTTTCACACGACCCTTGCCACGCATCCCGGTGTGTGTGTGTGTGTGTGTGTGTCATGTGATTCCCTTTTGCGACCTTCTGATAAGCAAAGTCAACGGGGGAAGCCGGATTCACTTAACGACCGGGCGACTAACAACTGCAGTGATTCATTTAACAACTGTAGCAGCCATGGTCATAAAGCGAGGTCAAACTCACTTAAGTCTCTTCACTTAGCGACAGAAATTTTGGGCTCAATTGTGGTCATAAGCCGAGGATTACCTGTATGTATGTATCTGTCACAATTTCTTTGCAGCCCATCTCACTGTGGGCCTACTTTAGGCATTTAACAATGACAAAAAGGAAGAAAAATGGAAAAGTTGTGTAAAATAATAGAACAATAAAGTATACAATGATAAAGGAAAACAGTGATAACAAATACATCAGTAAGATAACCCAAAAGACGGATGGGCGGAGAACAGAGAGCAAGTGTGTGTGGGGGGGAAAGAAATGGAATTTTCCTGCCTGGATACCTGTCCGTGCACTCAGGGAGGGTCAAAAAAGTCAAAATGGCAGCTGTTGAGTATGATCAAAGCTTTCCTGCATTTTAAAAAGGAGCAGCTTTGATTGATTGCTGCGGTCGTCTTGATGGCTTTGGGTCTCTCTCTGTGTCGGCTCCATTTGAATAAAAAAGCCAAATTTCTCAGCAAAGTGGCTTATTTTTAGCAGCAAGAGTGTCTTTTGTGGCCTTAAACTTCAGACAGCTGAGATAATATTAAAAGTCTTCAGCAGAGCCAGGCTGTCTGCTGTTGTAATCCAATTGGTTTACGATTGGGATAACTTAACGTGTAATGAATGCCAAGAGGCACCAGCCGTGCATCACGTTCTGGAATTAGTAGAGCATAATCTTATCAGCAAAAATGGACTTTTAGAGGCTCAGCTTTTGACAAGCAAAAAGCTTGTTTGCCTTCCGGGCAAACAAACTTAAAACTCTATGTAAAGCACCTCCAGACCGATCAATCGCATGGATCGGTTGTAGCTCTCGAAAGCTAATCAAAGGCACAAAAGGGAAACATTCGTATCTTATTTCTGCAAGTCCTTGGTGATTTAGAAGCTTCAAATTTAATTTGTCACCGTTAATAATTATCTACGTTTGAGCACAGGTAGGAGGCCCCTGCCGAGCCGCGTCTTCGATTGATGTGACATTTGAGTTTGTGCAAATTGTAAATCAATACCAGGCTGCAGTTAGTGCAAGCCAAAATTCAGTTAAGGCGAGCCTAGTATGCGTGCAATTGAGGCTAACGTATGGGCCGTTGTGGTTTTAGAGGTTTTGTGTGCACCAGGTGGAGAAAACGAAAATCCCGCCAGAGGAGAACAGTGCAGGTTTAACACACAGGGGTTTTGTGCTTGGGGAATAGGTTGTGTCCCCCCCCCCCCAAATACTGGAACACTGCTATCGTGTTCCCCCTAACTCCTTCTTTTCATTAAACTAGACCAGGGATAGGCAACCATGGCTCTTTTATGACTCGTGGACATCAACTCCCAGAATTCCTGAGCCAGCATGGGGGAACTATGGCCCCTTCATGACTTGTGGACTTCAACTCCCAAAATTCCTGAGCCAGCATGGCTCAGCTTGGAAACCTCTCCCTTTCCCCTCAGCGTGGCTGGCTCAGGAATTCTGGGAGTTGAAGTCCACGAGTCATAAAAGAGCCAAGGTTGCCTACCCCTGGGCTAAGACATACCCAATTCCTGCAACGGTTCTTTATATGTTTTAGCCTCCAGTCCCCTAATCATCTCTGTTGCTCTTCCCTGTACTCTTTCCAGAGTCTCAACATCTTTTTTGATATTCTGGCAACCAAAACTGGATGCAATACAAGCAGTCCTCAACTTACGACAGTTCATTTAGTGACCGTTCAACGTTACAACGGCGCTAAAAAAGGTGACTTTTGATCGTTTCCCACAGTTATCACCTTTGCAGCATCCCCGTGGCTCACGTGATCAGAATCCAGATCCTCAGCAATTGGCTCGTATTTATGACGATTTCCGTGTCCCCGGGGTCACGTGATCCCCTTTGGCGACCTTCTGACAAGCCAAGTCAACGGGAAAGGCAGATTCGCTTAAAAACCGTGTTACTAACTTAACAACTGCAGTGATTCACTTAACAACTTTGATCAGAAAGATGTGGGGTAAAATTCACTTAACTGTCTCATTTAGCAACAGAATTTTTTGGCTCAGTTGTGGTCGTAAGTTGAGGACTCCCTGTATTCCAAGTGTGGTCTTACTAAGGCTTTGTTAAGCGGTACTAACACTTCACGTGATCTTGATTCTATCCCTCTGTTAATGTAGCCTGGGACTGCAGACATGCTACATGCTTGCAGACTAATTCCCACATTTATTGTGAGCATTTTAGACTTTTACATTCCTTCTCATTCCTCCCTTCCCAGCTGGGAAGCTCAGCTTGGCTGGGTAAATAAAAGACTGGATATATAAGTATTAGCCGAACGTAATTATTAGCTAAGATGCTGCTTATATTTGGAGATTGCTCTTTGTGGGTGATTTTTGAACAGTGTCAAGTTCTTACACATTTGAGAAACTCTTAATTACAGCAGTGGCACCAATATTAATCTATTTCCAGCTGTAAATCACCACTTCGAGCATTTAGTTTCTTATTTAAAGAACCCCCCGAGTGGGGTATAATCTATGTGATATACAATGTTTTGCGCAGAAGCTGAGGCCGAGACAGAATAGTTTTATTTGAGATCAGGATTAAAATCAGAATTCGAAGTCACATGGCCTCTGCAACGCCCTGACATTTGATCCAAGGAGTAACCTCTTTGTAGGTGCTCACTGCTTGCTTCACGCCGACTCATTCTGCTTTACACCAAAGGCAGAAAGGTAGCTCATCATTATCCAGGGGTGGTCCTTGAAGACCACCCAGAAGCCTCAACTGGTCCAGCGGATGGAGGCACAAGCAGTGATGGACATGTATCAATGGGCTTTTGTAAGATCGTTGTGCTGGACATAGCTTTGTTTCTAGGTGATCTTCAAGCTGGTTGTTACAGGGATTGCCTGTTCTCATATCTTCCAATTTGATCCTGCAGAGTTAGCACTACTTTGATTAAACAATGCCCTGGCTAACACAAAGAAGAGGGGGCGGGGGTCAACTTATTCTCCAAAGCACCAGAAGGCAGGACAAGAAACAATGGATGGAAACTAATCAAGGAGAGAAGCAACCCTGGAATTAAGGAGAACTATTCCAAACAGTGAGAACAATTAACCAATGGAACGGCCTGCCTCCAGAAGTTGTGGGTGCTTCAACACTGGAGGATTTTAAGAAGAGACTGGACAGCCGCTTGTCTGAAATGTTAGGGTCTCCTGCTTGAGCAAAAGGCTGGACTAGAAGATCTCCAAAGTCCCTTCCAGCTCTATTCTGATTCTAATCTTTCAGGACTGCCAAAAGTGCTCCTTCTCTGTAGCACGTTTGAGGTTCTCCCCAAGATGCAAATAGCCCCCCCCCAGTCTGTTATTGTTCAGAATACCCATGAAGAACAGGTTCTTCATCCGGGCCTCTGGACTTCATCATGCTTTGCTCTTTTACCTTTACATTTTATGTCCCAAAGGTGCTTTTGGACTTCCTTGGTTTTTGTTTTCTCTGAAAACATTTTGCTTCTCCTCTGAGAAGCTTCTTCAGTTCTGAAGAAGCTTCTCGGATGAGAAACGAAACGTTCTTAAAGAAAGCATATAAGGAACGGCTGCTGGAATTGGGTATGTCTAGTTTAATGAAGAGAAGGACGAGGGGGAACATGACAGCAGTGTTCCAATACCTCAGGGGCTGCCCCAAAGAAGAGGGAGCCAAGCTATTCTCCAGAGCACCTGAAGGCAGGACAAGAAGCAATGGATGGAAACCGATCAAGGAGAGAAGCAACCTAGAACTAAGGAGAAACTTCCTGACAGTTAGAACAATTAACCAGTGGAACAACCTGCCTCCAGAAGTGGTGAACGCTCCAACACTGGAAGTTTTTGAGAAGAGACTGGACGACCATTTGTCCGAAATGGTATAGGGTTTCCTGCCTGACCAGGGGGTTGGGCTAGATGACCTCCAAGGTCCCTTCCAACTTTATTATTATTGTTGTTGTTGTTGTTGTTGTTGTTATTATTATTATTATTATTATTATTATTATTATTATTACTATTATAAACCAAGAAAGTCCAGTTGTTTTTTGGAAAAGGACCTTTGGGACAACTATGACCTGGATGATTGGGAATCTCCACAGACTTCACTTTTTAGGTTAATATTGTGTGGTGGAAGGAGAGAAAGGAGTAAAGAGGCATGCCAGTATGGAGTTGCTCTGTGGGAGGAATGACACAAGGCAGACTAGGGAAGCCCTTATCTACCTATTCCCAAGAGAATGCAGCCAGTCTGGTGAGATTATTGTCAAAGAAGTGATCAACAATGAATGACTTTGGCCTATTCACTGAGTTGTGCCCGACATATTGATTTTATTGAAACTGTGAGGCGCCCAGTCATTGAGAGTTGGATGGTGAACTGGTTTTAAAAAAACATTGTCGTTATCATTATCACCATCACCATCTTCCTATTAGCATCAGACACTATGAGTTAAGGCATTTAATTTAATAGCTGGAAGAATAATGTGTACGATGGGCCAGAACACACAATTGTAGTCGATTGATTGGACAGTGCGGGCTCCTGCATGAGGCAAGCTACGTTAGGATTGGTTGGTGGGTGTGAAGGGGGAGTTTCCCTTTTTCCCCGCCTTTTTTCTTCTGCGTGCTCTGTATGCTGTTCGGCGATTTACCTGACGATTTACCTCACGATGTAGTGATGGGCCTGACTGTCTTGTCTCCTATAAATATATATGTCTCTGACTCTATTTGGACATCGGTTGTGCAATTCCCTGATATCGTGTCTCCCCGGCCCCATCAGAGACTTGGGATTTATTCCTTTAAATGTCATCTGGGCCCAGAATTTCTCCCGCTTACCTGACGTTGCTTTGCACATGGGAGGCATCCTGGTTACCTTACTGTGCGCCACGAAGGTGCTTTGAGAGGAGTTACTGTACTGGGAGCTGCTATCCGACGAAGTGGAGCTTGTGTGCGACAACCGGCTGTGGTCTTTGTGGGGGGCCGTGGACCGCTGGTACCATAGTCTGAGCTCATCCGAGACCACAGTCCTCCCCGATCCCTTTTCGTGGCCGTCTCTCCCCAACGAAGGAGTCCTTATGATCTGAGACCGGGAGGGAGTCAACCGGAGGGAGTCCACTTCGTCCCCGTGCCAGTTCTCCTTAAACATGCCCCCCGCTGTGTACGAATTGGACGTTTTAAACTGTGCTTTCACGCTGTAGTGTCCCTCCTGGTCGTTTTCGAGGCTGCGCACCACCACCGGCGTCGAGCTCCCTTCGATGTACAGCGGGTACTCTTTGATCCTGTACTGGGAGGAAGGCTGGCTTTGGCTGTGCAGGTAGACGCCGTGATGGGCGGTCCCGTTGCCGGCAGCCAGGTTGGGCATGCTTCCCGAATTGGAGCAAACGAGGTTTCCAGTTGACTTGTGTCGCTGTCTCTGGCGCTCGCGAGCTTTGGAGGGCGAGTCCTCCGCCAGCGTGGAGTAATTGGCATTCATCTGGGCCGGGTAGTAATGCTCGGAGCTGGAGTGGCTCGTACAGGAGGAGCAGTCATCCATGGGGTCTGACCCATTACTGCTACGAGTCCTTGGGGTGTAGAAGTCGGGGCTCCCCGTTTCGTTTTCCGAGCCAAGAAGCTTTCCTTGCGATTCTAAACTGGAACTTCGGTGTCTAAAGTGCTGAGCTAAACTATGCAGTCTGGTAGGGCTGATGTCCACCGATCTGTAAGCCCGGAGAAACAGAAAGGGGAAAAAAAACAAAACAGAATTAAGACTCTAAACATCACTACAGAGGGCAATCGTTTGATGGAAACCTGCTCCCGGGATATTTCCAGCGTGCCTTAAATCAGGGGTCCCCAACCCCCGGTCCGTGGATTGGTACCGGGCCGCGGCATGCCAGCAACTGGGCTGCACAAACAAGCAAAGTCCCATCCGCGGGATGCAGGCAGCACACAAAACCATGCCCCCTCCGGTCTACGGAAAAACCTCTCTCCACGTAACCAGTCCCTGGTGCCCAAAAGGTTGGAGACCTCTGCCTTAAATGCTTCAGCTCCAACTGGCATCCAATACAAGTATAGCACACAAGTCAGATACGTGAAAAGCTTTTTCAGAAAAGCTGCTTTAGTCCAGGCATGTCCAACCTTGGTCACTTTAACACTTGTGGACTTTAATTCCCGGAACTGCCCAACTAGCATTCTGGGAGTTGAAGTCCACATGTCTTAAAATGACCAAGGTTGAAGAATGCTGCTGCAGCTTGATACCATAACCAGCATGCCTTTCTTTCTAAATCTTTACTTCAGAACTTCAAACACAATTCTGTTGGAATCAGCTCTTCATCACACCAACAAACCTAACCATGTCCATGATTTGGAGATATGTTCAGAAAGGACAAAATATTTTGAACCTATTTTTAATGCTGCAGTCTTTCCAGTTTTGATGTTCCCTGTTCAAGTGTGAAGGGTGTCCATCTTGAAACAGAGGCTCATCAACACCGGGACATCGTTAGTGAAGGTGAAACACCTTCTTTCAATTTTGCCCAAAGTATTTTGAGGTTGATCTGGCCTGACTGGAAGCATTCCAGGTTCAGAAAACTTTTGGTGAGGTGGAAACGGCCCGTGTTGATCTCAGAAACATTTCAAGTACAATTTCTCTTCCATGTTTCTATTAACCTTGATTTAAAAAGTTTATGGCCAGGAGTCCAACAGAAGAATAGAAAGAGAGGAAACCGTGGGACGAAAGGACTCACCTGGTGGAATGGACATAATGTGGACTGCGTACCCGTAGATCTGGTGTCGATGGCATGCTGGATTGAGTGTTCCAATGGGGAAGATTCCTCACTGGGCTGTTCTGAAGAGAGTTGCTTCCTCCACCTTCCACACAACTTCCAGTACTGGGAAACCGCTTGTGACTAACGCAAACAGAAGATGACAAAGAATTCAAAACACATTCTTTATTTTACACGCGCCGCTAAATGGGCACCATCTCTACCTACGCACATGGAACCTTCAGGTAGACAGTAGCAAATTTTAGATTTTCCAAGTATCATCCCAACATGGAACGAATTACCCCCAGAGATCCGGGTCATTCCGGATCTCCCCTCCTTCCGCCGCGCCCTCAAGACATGGCTATTCCAACTAGCGGGACTGGCCTAAGGGATATTTTAATTTGATTTTAATTTGGTTTTTAACATAATTTTAAAAAGAAACGGCAAAAAAAATCAATATTTCATTTTAATTGTATTTTAAACTTAGTATTTTGTATGGTTTGTCTGTTTTTTAACTTGCTGTAAGCCGCCCTGAGTCCGCCAGGAGAAGGGCGGGGTATAAATTTAATAAAACCTAAAACCTAAAAAACCTAAACAGCTGTAACAAGGGTTTTCTCCCATGTAACTCTCTTCAAGTGTCTTGGGATGACAAGTTCCCGATCATTCAAGGGTTACCAGACTGGGACAGTCAAATGAAAGGAATGTGGCCGGCCAAGTAGTTGGATGGAGACAGAGAACATCACCAGCTAGGGCAGATTGGTGCATTCATGCCTTAGAATAACACAGAAAACAGGGGCCTTGGAGATCTTCTAGTCCAACCCTCTGCTCAAGCAAGGAAACCCTAATCCATTCTGGACAAATGGATGTCTGGTCTCTTCTTGAAAACCTCCAGTTATGGAGCACCCACAACATCTGGAGGCAAGCTGTTCCACTGATTAACTGTCCTCACCATCAGGAAATTTCTCCTTATTTCTAGGTTGGATCTGTGTTTAATGAACTTCTATCTGTTGCTTCTTGTCCTGCCATCTGGTGCTTTGGAGGATAAGTCATCATCTCTTCTCTGTGACAGTTCCTTGAGTACTGGAAGACTGCTATCGTGTCATCCCTAGTCCTTCTCTTTGTTACATACCCTGTTCCTGCAACCGTTCACCATATGGTTTAGCCTCCAGACCTGTTATTATCTTTGTTGCTCTTCTCTGCACTTTTTCTAGTGCTTATATATGGAAGGTATGGATTCAGGCATTTAAAAGAATTTGTCTATGTACACATCTAGTTTCTTCTCCCTTCCAACCGACTGTCATACATGCACAACCATGGCATTTAAAAACGGGCAGTGAAAAAATATGTCTATGTACACATCTAGTTTCTTCTCCCTTCCAACTGATTGTCATACATGCACAACCATGGATGCATGCACAAACCCACACATATATGCAAATTTGCAGGCATATATACACATGCACACTTCTGGCTATGTTAGCTGCTGAATGCTGCATGTCCTTGGAGAATAATATTTTTGTTCTGCTCTGGGTAAGGGGCAACCATATTTATATATATAAAATTAGCCAGATTAATGCAAGATCTGCAGAAAGTGGATATCATCATCGTTTCTTCCAATTAAAGCCTCAAGTTGCAGGAATCAGGGATGTCTAGTTTAAGAAGCACTAGGGGTGACATGACAGCAGTCTTCCAATATCTAAGGGGCTGCCACAAAGAAGAGGGAGTCAAGCTATTTTCCAAAGCACCTAATGGCAGGACAAGAAGCAATGGATGGAAATGAATCAAGGGGAGAACCAACCTAGAACTAAGGAGAAATTTCCTGGCAGTGAGAACAATTAACCAGTGGAGCAGGTCGCCTCCAGAAGTTGTGGGTCCTTCAACACTGGGGGGTTTTAAGAAGAGATTGGACAACCATTTGTCTGAAATGATACAGGGTTCTTGCTTGAGCAGGGGGTTGGACTAGAAGACCTCCAAGGTCCCTTCCAACTCTGTTATTCTGAGAAATTTATGCAGAAGCTTTATAGAATGTCCATTGGCACATTAATGCATAATTTTACACACACCCCTGGAATGTGCTGGCAAACCTTTGCTTTATTTCGACAAGTCCTCCAATGATGGATGGAAGGTCCGCCATTTCCTGCTCTGGACTCACCTGGAGTGGCCGTGAGAAGAACGCTTCTTCACCTTCTCGTAAGGTTCATCCAAGGAAGACTCGCTCCACATCTTGGGCTTAATGGGGGACTTGTCATAGTCATTCCTGTGATAGTGCATTTGCCGGAGACCCTCCAGAGACTGTGGAGGGGGAGGTCTGTTGTGCAAGGGGGGGCGAGGAGGGAGCCCTTTGTGAGGTGACTGTAAAGGGGATATTGTGCTGGTAACAGGGCAGTCTTCTGGAATGGAAGGAGAAGAAGGGTCAGGCATGATGGACAGGCCCACACATGAAGGATCAATCAAACTGATTTACCGCTAAAAGTCTACACACAGAAATCTTCTCAACTAACAGTTAGCACCTAGTTAAGAGTTAGATAAGGACCAACAGCACTCAAGGGGAATTGGGTTTAGTTTGTTTGTGGCTATGTAAGGATTCTAGACTGATGGCTCTCTTGACTCCGCCCCCTGGTGCCATCTCTTCTCCTTCAAGAAGAGAGCATTTCAAGCCCATTTGAAGTTCATCTCAACTCTTTGGTTTAATTACTTGACAGCCATCAAGGCACCTCTTTTTTATCAAATGTTGGCATCATGTTGCAAGGAGCCGAAAGCTATAAATCCCACAAATGGGCAAATTATGGGAGAAAAAGATACATTTAATGGTGTTAGGTCCCTAGGTGGGTCTTGATGCTTGTGGAAAGAGGCACGCTCTGCATAAATAAAATATGGGCATACCCATCTTCTGGAGGAACTAAAATAAGGGAGCCATCATTTGGGATCAAAAAGGAGACTCCCACCCCAATTAAAAGCCAAAATCCTTTTGAAAAATGACATGACAAGCAAGACGATCAGCCAATGAAAGTAGACAGGAAAAAAAACTTGAAATACTGGGGTATTTTTAAAATGAACTCGGCTCCGAGTAGCCTCCTTCCTATATTTTCATAATATACCTAAAATTAAGGAAGACAGATACTAACCCCCTACTAATCCCACCCCCGGGGAAAAAGTGTCCCCTGGATAGGCGATTTGCAAAAAAGCTCCTGCTCTACTTCCTACAACCAAACTCAAGATACAGTTCACACCAAAACGGGCGAGAGAGCTGGTCCATTAGGATCACTGGACCAAAATCATTTCGACCGGCACTGGTAAGCAGTGCTTGGAAATAAAAGATCCTCTCTTTATTCTTGTGATGTGCCGCTGCCTTTTGCAAAAATTTGAAATAACTGTGTGTGTCAATGCTGCAAATACTGTATATTCTTGCTTTGACAAAATATGCAGAACTGTCTGGTAACTTTAGAGTTAATTCAGATGATGGTGGGGGGGGAGGAGAAAGATAGGACTGCAGGCACGGAAGAAAACCTTTGACCTTCACACTAATTGGATAACCGTGATATATGACAGCTAATTTAGGGAGGGAACATGCTGATAATTTAACTGCTCAGAGGAAGAGAATTTCAGATCTTAGCATCACCTTCCGTTATGCCTGTGCCGACATTTTTGTAACAATAAATTATTTTTAGGAAAATCAATGCCTGGAAGTTCTTTGAAGTGTTTCATTAGCCGGAACCATAACAGTGTGCTTATCAAACGCAGAAGATGATAAGACCCCGAAGGTCTTTACGTACCATCCTCCAGGACAACAGCATCTGAGAGGGAGCTATCTTCACTGGCAATGTTCCCATCTAGGAAGCCAAGAGACACAGAGAAGATCCCGTCAACAAGGAAGTAGATCAGCGTTGGTATCCCAGAAGTCAGATAATGAAAGCAGTGCTATCTTTCTTCAGACCCATCCCATGAGCAGAAAGATGGGCAATCTCTGGCTGTTGCAGTACTACAACTCCCAACAACCCAGCCAGGGACTCTAGCAGACATGGGACAGCAAGGCTGGAAGGCCAACTATCCTCCATGGTTTCTCCAGCATGCTATTTCTCATCTACAAATGTTTCCAGGAAATGCATAGGCAGGACAGGCAGACAATAGTTTGACTATTGTCCCTAAACGATGAAGTTTGTTGGTGATAAATAGCCACTGATTTATCATTAATTTGACCACATTTGTTTAGTAACTGTTCGAATTTATGAGGCACTGATAACAACTGTTCAAACTTATCAGGCATTGAAGAAAGTAATTTACGACCAGATTTCGCTCTTATGATTATTGTGGTGATGCTGCAGTCAGATAATCAAAATCTGTGCTGTATTTATGTCTTTTATGATAGTTACAGCATCCCAGGTCACCATTTATGACCTTTCCAGGAAGTTTCTGACCAGCGAAGTCCCGTGGGGGAATCCGGATTTGTTTACTGTCCATGTGGTTCACTTAAAAGACCGTGGTGATGCACTTACAGAACCATGGCCAAAAAAGGTCTTAAAATAAGGAGTGGTCGCTTAATGACCACATCTCTTAGCAATGGAAGTCCCAATTGTGGTTGTAAGTCAAGGACTCCCTATATCCCTTAACAGCTTTGTAAATCAGTGGTCCTTTTAACTGGGGATCTTAAAACAAAATTTGGCAGAGTCCAAAATTAAGAATCTATTTCTCATCGGCATTTTTGTACGCGTTGTAAACTCCTCTTAGCCCAGTGGTGGAGAACCTATGGCATGGGTGCCAGAGGTGGCACTCAGAGCCTTCTCTGTGGGCACGCGCGCCGTCACCCCAGTCCTAGGCCTTCAGCTGGGTTTTATAAAACCTTTTCGCTTTAGGCGTCTGCCGCCGTGTGCAAAAAAAAAAAAAAAGGTTCAATCAATCAGTCAATTTCAACTTCTGGCTGGAAAAAAAGATCTTGCAAAGTTGCTTAACTAACTAACTTCAAAAATCAGGGTGGGTCAGACGGCAATTGTGGCGTCGGTGCGGGTGGGTTACCCGGTGTGGGTGGGTTACCGGTGTGGGTCGGCCGTGGGCTGCTACGTATTCACCCAAAACCCAACGTCAAACCCGTGAGCCAGAGATTTTCCAAGCGGTAGTGACAGAATCGGGTACAACATTAATGTTGAACTCTTAGTGCAAACTTGCTGCCCCAAAAAATGTTCTTCCACAGGAATCTTTCAGTTCTGAGGGAGGTTAAGCTCAATAAAATCCCATTCGTGGCTTTGTTTTTCCCGTCCCCATTTTTCTTTGGGGCTGCCGGTGTGAGATTGCAAATCTGTTTAGCACAAAAAATGCAGACTTGCAATCAGTGATGGCACTTGAGCCCTGTTTCCTTTATCACTTTCCCGAATTTAATACCTCACTTTCCCGAATTTAATACCTCACTTTCCCGAATTTAATACGCAAGTGGCTAGTTGCAGAGGAGTTGATGAGCTTCTGGGCAAGGAACATGAGATGGTCACCTGGTGGGCTTCCATAACTCCAAACAAGGGTTTCTCCATTATTTCTTCAAGCAGCCTATAAGACCCATGAAATCCACCAACCTCTAAACCCCATCCCATCTAAGGCAAAATCTCAGAATATCACAGGTCAATGGTCTTTACCATCTATGATCAGCGAAGCTCTTTGGGTGGGCTTCTTCCCGGATCTGATACGGTACTCATTGATGGAATTTTCAATCTCCTGAAGCTTCTTCAGCGCATTCAGGTAGGACGTCTTCCTCTGCTTTTTCAGCTTCTTGCTGACATTGGGTTCGCTGGCCAGGCGCCGGGCAGCTTCCGTGATCTGGGACTGGATGGCAAATTCTCTTTCCAAGCGTTCCAGCTCAGCTTCCTGTCCGACGGGAAAGAAGTGTCAATGGTCAATGTGTGTTCTGTCCCCGTCTGACACACACACCCAAACAGCCAGCCGAGGGTTAAATAACTTCTCCACACTCCAATCCACAGATAAGAAAACTTGGCAGCAGCTGCTTGCCAAGACTTTTACTCAGAGAACAAAAAATACACACAAGTTTGAAATTCAAGCCACAGCAAACTACTTCGCCAGAGATTCAGCTTTGTCTATCACAGAGTCCAAATGGCCACCACCTCCCTTTTATAGCCTGTGGGGTGTGGTCCAGTGACTCAGCTTAAACTCTGGCACGTCTCCTTTTCTGCTGTGCACGCTTGTCGCTCCTACGCTGGCGTGGATCCAGCCACAACGTATCTTCATCACTATCCGAAACACCTGGCTCCTGGCCAATCTCAGAAACACCTGGCTCCTGGCCAATCTCAGAACCACCTGGCTCCTGGTCAATCTCTTCTCCGTCGGGAGACACCTGAGGCATTGCCAAAGAGGAGGGTCCTGGAGAGGGAGGCCTGGCCATCTCCTCTCCTTCATGTTCAGAGCCTTCTTCCTCCGATAAGAGGGGCTCACAAGACGGAGCCACAACAGTGTGTCTCAAGGTCTGCCATTGAGCTAGTTTCGCTGGGCTGGCATCCAGTCCAGTGAATCAACACTGGATCAACAGAAAAATATGGACCAACGGAAAAATGTGACTGCCGCCCACCAGGGAAGTTGAACTTTTCACATCCTACAGCTCAAGTCACTTCATCTCCTGTATCTAAAGACCTTGGACGTCAGGGTTGACAGTAATCACAATGCCAAATCTTTCTATCCAGGCTCAACTTAGCGAGATGTGCGACTCAGTTTGCAGTAAGTCAGACATGTCAAACACAAGGCCCGGGGGTTGGATGTGGCCCGCGAAGTGGTTTCATGTGGCCCGTGAAGCCATCCTGGAAACAGTGAGGGAACGGCCCCCTCCGCCTTGGCCCTGGCCCAGGCCGGCCGAGAGCCAATGTACAATTTTGTGGTGGCCCTCTATGCTGAAACGCATTCAGTCTTAGCTCCACAAGGCCAACAGCGGAAACAGAGAGGAACCAGCCTCTGCCGCGTCGCCCCCACCCCCTGGGTGCATGCTGGGGAGGCGTCACCCTTTGTGAGGAATGAAGAAATGCGCCATGCCTTGGCGCT